GTGTGACTCGTTCGTGGGGGAGGCGGCCCCCCTCGAAACAACCCACGGCCGTGGGGGCGCCACAGCGTGGGTTCTGCTTCTCGCTGGGCTCGGCTGCTGGCCCCTCAGACTTCGGAGCTCCTGTGCCCACAAGCGCCTCACAGCCTCTCCGTCGTCGTGTGCAACCAAACCGGGAACAGTAGCCATGCAGTTTTTATTTTTAAAGGCGGCAACGGCTCCCCCACCCCCACCCCCACCCCGGTCCCCTGTCAACAGGTGCGGGGGCTCCGTGGGCAGGCGGAAGGGTCTGCATTCCGTCTCCAGTGGCGCAGCCCGCCTGTCGGCTGAGCAGAGGATGAGTGGGATAAATTACGCATTCTGACCCCTTGGCATATCGGGACTGAAAAGAGCAGCAGCGTTAGGCAAACTCTCTGACCGTGGTGCTGGTGTGTGGCTTTGGCTCCATCGACCATGACAGACCCAGATTTGTTGGCCCACATGCTTTCAAGTTGCTGGGTTATGCGGACATTTAGCACTACAAACGGGCAGGTTAGGCAACAGGCGTCGCCACCAACAGTGTTAAAAGCAGGCTGTAGTAAATTACCTCTGTCAACAGAACAGCTGTAGCTGGTGACTGTTCCATGTGTATGTGTACGCATGTGTTTGAAAGTTACGCATTGTATTAGGTGATAAGAGACCAGATTTTTCTGTCTCAGGTGTAAAAAACCATCTTAATTTTAAAAATCTCTCCGGCATTTGGGAGGGGAGGGGAGGACAGGGAGGACTCCCTTCCTCTTCAGAGACTAAGGCACTCTCAAATCATGCCATCTTATTACCAATGCAGAAATACTGCTGTTATTCAGGAGGTAACTGCCTTGGTGTGTTTCAGCAACAACGGAAGTGTTATGGCACCTTTATGCCTAATAAATTTGTTTCACTGTGAGCATTTGTGGGTTACAATCCATGTATCTGAAGGAAAGTGCACTGCAATCCACCAAAGGTCACTGTGAAGCAAATTAGTTAGTTTTAAAGGTGACACAATACTTTTGTTTTTCTTTTGGATGTTAATATACTACTGAATAACCTCCACCAGAGCTTGTATACATTAGCAGAAATCGCTATACTTCGGTATGTGTGTATCAAATTATTGAGATTTGAGTGAAGACTCATAGGAAATTGGAGATTTTTTTAAAAAAAATCTTCCAACTACCCAGAGCTGAAGTAAGTGCCAAAATAGTACCTGTCAAATCTGATCCAACTTTTTCCTTGAACAGACAAGAGGGGGGAAATGATTGTCAGAATACTGTTTCTCTGGAGAATGAAAATGTGGAACCTGATAAATCTCCTCACCGTATTAAAATTTTGGGACTTGTTTAAGTCCAAGTAGGTGAGTTGGTCCCAGATAGGTCAGCTCAGGTGAGCCTTTTGCTTGCTTGCTAGTAGATGTTTAGAAGTACATAAACTTTGTTGAACAGTTTTATAAAGCAGGAAATGTTACAAACTTGGCTTAGGTTACACTTCTCATTGTCATTGCCAGGGGGCCTAATAAACTATTATCAATGTAGAGTAAAACGTGCCCCAAAGCAATTGCAACAAGTCCTTTTGAAAAAGTTTACCCATAAGTCAAGAGACACAAACAATAAATTAAAGAGCAGACAGCTGGCTTTTGTCCACTTCTGTGCTGCTTTCAGTTGATTTTCTTCTTTTTCTTGTAGCAGCAGTTGTCATAGAAAAATTAATAAGAATGCATGTTTCTAGTATTTCAAGAAAAAGAAAAGAAGGCGGTTTTAGCTTAAGAGCAGAGTAAACATGGTTAAGATGAAGAGAGGCCTGGTATATCTAGGACTGTTGCTAAATTACTGCCGTAGGAATTGGCATACATTTGCTGAAACAAAAATAATTAATGTCACATGTTTTCCTCCAGGTTCTGCCCAGTTGCTGTTTGAGAAGATTCAATCTGTTGCGATGGAGCCTTGCAATTCAAGCACCGCCATAATACCTTGCCGAGTAACCAATCTAAAACTGAACAATACTAAAGTAATGTTTGTGAAATGGAAAGTACAAGGGAAAGAATTTTTTACGTATGATGGAGTTGAAGATAAGTATGCCAGAAACACTACTTTTCAGTCAGCAAATTTACTGAATCTGACACAGCTACCCTATGGTATTGCTTCAATTGTACTATCAAGAAAGGAAGCAATTTCAGGAAACTATACTTGTGAAGTAGCAGAATCAAATAGAGAAGGAGACACTGTAGTCGAACTTATATATAAATCAGGTAAGTTATTTCTCTTCAATTTCTTATGTATTCTGTTTTGGAATTTGTACTTTTAAATTCATATTTGTACATTATCTGGAGTTTTGGATGAATAGTGAAGCGGTGTGTGGTCTCCAGATTTTGTCTCATCTTAGAAATCAGCTATAAGCTGTGTCCCTAGGCCATGTAGATAGAAAGAATTCACAAAATAGGAATGAAGGCTGCATGAAGGGGAGGGCATTGGAAGATATGAGGAAGGGGCCGTGAGGATCGGAAGGGGGTGATCTGAGTTAAATGACATTGGAAGATAGTACAATGAGCTGCATATGCAGCAACTACAGTAATACCATGTTTAATGCTCAGGATATGTTCCAAGAAAATTGAGTGCTAACTGAATCAGTTCTAAATAGAGTTATTTTAAAAATTAGTAACAAAGACTGGGGCCCAGGTCTCCTGGAGACCTAATCTGCCTCCTTTAGGTAGACTAGTCAAGCAGCATTAAATGGCCACCTGAGCATGTGTGCTGTACTGAATCAGTGCTAAACGGGGCAGCACTATGAAGGTATTAGTGTACAGTGAAGTGGTGGTATGAAATGTTAAGGATAAGAAGAGTTGAGAGCTTAGAAAGGTTACTTTATGGTATTGCAACTCTCAGAGCTGCAAAATGCCCATGCTGCCTGGGGCATTCTGAGTAGTTCCCAAAGTAAATGTTTCATGTTCTGGAAGAGGTTGGTTGGAGAAAAGAGGCAGGCATTGTTGATACATTATAATTAAAATCATGGAATTTGCCACAGGTTTAGATTAGGGATGTAGTTTCATAAAGTTTCAGAAGCACATTTTTAAAGCCCTTATATGATCAAGGTGGACATTTTGAAAATAAGAATTGATCTGAAGGGAATATGCAATATATAGGCTGGGATGCTCTGATGAATATGTTTAACTCTAGTGGAATAAACAAAACCACAGCTTTGTATAATGCTTAATTGTTTTGCAGAGCTCATTTCTACACATGGTTACAGTCAGAGTAGGTATTAAAATGGATTGGATAAATCCCTAGACAATAAATGCTTACGTTGGATGTACTCTAGAAGCAAACTCTTTGTTTATAATGTTTTTAATGTATTAATGTCCAAATTAACTTTTGCTGCTGCTGTTATATAGCATTTTAGCATATTGATATAATCCTGTATCTTGCTTTGTTTATGGAAATGGAGGGGAACAGATGCAGTTTCCCAAGATTTAAAGGGTTAAAACTAGCACTTGTGTTCAACAATTTATAGTAACCCAGTATTTATGCTCGTAGAGACAACCCCCACTCTGCTGAGATGAACTGTATCATGCATCGGTTGTCAGATCTATGTAGGAGAATTCCACATAGAACACAGTTGACTTGAAACATATGTCACAAGCGACCATTGTCAAATCTGCACCTCAGGGCCACATTCTGTTTTTTTACGTATTTTTGACAATGGTGTAAGTGTTTGAGGTTGTCCTTCTGATTTCAGTTATTTTAGGTTCATGGTTTATTATATGTGTTAACTTTGCAGTTTATTGTTTTATTTATGCAAAATCATAAAGAAGCTATTGGTTGAGGTGTATAGGGAGAACAGTTTTGTCTCCTACTCTTGGATAGTCCATTTCATCCCTCCCTCCCCCCCATGTTTCTGATCAGCCAATTAATCAAGTCATCCGTCAGCATTCTTTGGATACCAAATATGTTGAGTTGTCATTTGGCTGAGTTTCCTTTTCCTCTCCTTGGGTTGATAGTGTATTGTGAAGGGGGAGGGATTGTATTTATGCAGACCTGGGAGTTCCCCAAGTTTACAGGCATCCATGTTTGCTTGTTTTTGCCTGGATGGAGGAGGTGAGGCCAGCACCCTGCCCTTATTAGAGAGTAACTACATGGTCAGTTACCACAGGCTTTGATCCACTTATAAAATGGATGAATTCAAATTTTCTTTTATTGTCTGCATGATGTACAAGGAAGGCTGTTTCGAATTGGCCCAGCCTATTTAAAGCAAGGCTGGCTTTTCCCCTCTGCTTCTAGAGCAGTGGTCCCCAACCTTTTCCGAACCGTGGACTGCTTGGGGGGGTGGGGTCCATGTGCGGGGGCAGGGCACATGCTGCTTCTAGAGCAGTGGTCCCCAACCTTATCCGAACCGTGGACTGCTTGGGGGGGCGGGGTCCATGTGTGGGGGCAGGGCACATATGTGTGTGTGAGTGGGCGGAGCATGTGCATGAGTGCACTGGGCACCAATGCACACGTGGGTGGGTGGTGCATGTGCAGTGGTGGGTTGGGGCACCCGTGCACGCATGCACGAGTGGGCAGGGCACCCAGGGGGTGGGAGGGATACCCATGTGTGCATGGTGGCATGTATACATGGGGCGTATATGCGGGAGGGCGGGAGATCTGTCTCTGTGGCCCAATCCTGCCAAGGCAATGGCCCAGTACCAGGCCAGGGGCTGGGTACCCTGGTTCTAGAGGTCTGCAACTTTTTTATGATGGGAGGATTTAAATTGTTTTTTTATCCCTGTAGACACTGTTGTAAAGACGGGGGGGGGGGGGGGTTTGTAGCACCAACATTCACCTCTTTCCACAAAGCTTTTGTATATAATAATAACGTGGAAAAGGTACTTCTTAGTCTCAGAATACAGAGCATCAGAAGTTTGAACACTAATTTTACAAAATACATGATTCATAACTGTTGGAATGATTCCATTCAGGATCAACCCTTTCCTATCATTCATCAGTTATGACCTTCCCTTACTTTCAAGTAACACAAGCAGGAATGACTGATCTCTGGTGACATAACCTAGTTTAAAATAGCTTAAAACTATATGTCCACAGAGATCACCAGTGATAAGTAAGGAAAGTTAGTAACTGACATGATGAGTGATGGGAAGGGAGTGATCCGAAATTGAAGAATTCTGAGTTGCATATTCTGATGTATTTTGCAAAGTTGCTGTTCAAACTTTTTATATTCTGTATTCTGAGACTATGAAGTACCTTTTCCACACTATTTTCCTATATCTATAGAAAAGTTTTTCAGAAATGTAGTAGTGTGAAGTTTGAATCCGGAGGATCCCCAAAGAGGATACTTGGCTGAGAGCCAGGGAAGTTGACTTGTATGCAAAACAATGCCTGGTATGTTTGCTCTGGTACATATCCCTTCTCTGGGTCCTTCTGAACTATATCAAGGGGATACTTGAAATTCTCTCCCGCCCCCCCAAGCATCCTGGCATACAGCCAACACATCTTCCCATTCACCCTCTATTTCTACCCTGGCTGCACATAGAAAACATACAATCCTACCTTATCTAGGGAATTTCTGAGATGGTTCAGTTGGGGTTTCACTTGCTTCTTCCCAATCCTCAGCCAAAGTCTCACTGCACGGTTGGCTTTTGGCTGCACCTCCTCCTCCTCCTCCTGTTTTCACTCTTGCTCTGAGGGATGGGACTCCTCTGGGCTGCAAACCATTAAAGGATCAGCAGAGGCAAGACCAGGAAAGAAAGAAAGAACAAATGTCTGAGAGTTGGACTGGAATGCAACTTGCATTACAACGAGTACAAACAGGGAAATCCCAAATGAGTTCAATGCCACTGTGTGCACACTGTTTCAGAAGTAACACAAGTTGTGAACCACATTGCAGCAAAGCTCTCCAGTGCAGCCACACCCTTACTTGCACTCTCCACACACTTCAAGATGACAGAATAAGACTGCAGTCTGTGTTTAATCTGCAGGTTGGCCTTACCATGCGCTGGACTGCTTGATACATTTTGCTTTAAAGGACATTCTGGAAGAAGGTCATTCACATAGAAAAACACTGCTCTGTCAAGGTTCTCATGTAGTTAGCTTATCAGTTATTAAACATTGTGTGGGTGGTGGCAGTGTTGCTGCTGAAGAAGATAAAGATAAAGACTTTCACCTTGTCCTACATCACAGGATTGGAAGCACAGACATATAATTTTGTTCCACAATCTCTCCTCAGACTGAGGAACTGAGACAATTTATACAGAATTCAACAAACAAGTGTGTTGTAGCACGGTGAAGGACAGCATTCCTGACAGTTTAAGGGCTGTCTTTACTTTGGGTGTTGGACAGCATCCATCATGACTAGTATGGCTATAATTCAGAAGTAACATTATATTTCATCCATTGGATGAAAGTGAGAGGACATTGCACACAAGGGTATTATTCCTGTTGACCCCCAGAGGTCGGTCTTAAATGAATATCCTGTCATCACTGATAGATGGAAGGGTGCTCCAGTATGGTTGGGAGAGAAGGATGTAGATGGGAATAAAATGTCTTCTTCAGAACAGAGTATCAGCTTCATCCACTTAGCCTTTTGCTGATAGAGCTACTTCTTTTTGAGGGGGTGTCAGTCTACTTCAAAGCCCTGAGAGACTCTCTGGAGAGATTGGGGTGTGTGTGTCTACAACAGTGTAAGGGGGGGGAGAGAAGGGAAGCTCCATTATACCAGTGGAAGGAGACTGCTTGATGCATATTGCTGAAGAGGGTCATTAAAATGTGAACAGGACAAACCAGTAACTTGCAGTCAGATAATAATTTGTAGACTAAGGCAGAATAGGGAGTTTTTGTGGTGGTGGCAGCACAAGGCCAGCTGTGATGGGAGAAGTGTCCATGTTTCTGTCTGTTGTGGACATTTCCCACTCCAAAATGGGCAACTGGCAGATATAAAGGGCTGCTTGGAGTGTTGTCTTGCTCTTCAGAGTAGGAAGGTCCTGCATGAGCTTGTGTGACAGTGCTGTAACCTGCTATCCCAAGTGGAAAACTACCCTTGGGTAAGACTGCAGGTTGAAGAGCTGTTCTGCCAAAGCTGCATCTGTCTTTTTTTGTGAAGCTTTTTGTACTCTAGGTCCCAAGGAAGATGTATACACATGTGTTCTAAGGCATATTTGAGTCAAGAGCCACTGAAGCAAAAACTGTATATGCCTGTGAGCTTGCATGGACAATACTGACAGTAGGCTGTATAGATCTGTGTTGTAGCTGAGCAGATTGG